CTGATATCTAAAAGAATATGCTAAATTTTTCCGGATAGTTATTAAATGGGCTCATCTGCCATTTAATCCAATAATGGAAGTAGAGAAAGTGGAAATTTAAAAAGAAAAAAATAGCATCACAAAACTCAACAAACTGCAGTGAAATATCTCTTGTTGAATCATCTTAGAAATGTTTGGTTATTCTAGTTTACATTGCAGTACTGAAAGGTTTTATCATTTTATAAACATTCCTGTGAAGACATGCCATATTGTTTTGATACCTTTAGAAATACCAGTCCAATCTATGTTTCTGACTCTTTCAGATAATTTTGTACTATGAACTTAAAAACCTAGTGCAAGTAAATTCAGTCAAAGCATCACAGGGAAGGGAAATGTAATCTCAGTTGCCAGTACTTCTTGGCTGCTTGCTAAGGGCATTTATCTCTTATCATATCTGAAAATGAAAGGCAATGTATTCATTTTGCCTAGCTTAATTACAATTTATACTCAGCAGCAGAAAATTAGTTTCATGCTAACAATACCCTTAATTGTTCTTGCTTTCTCATTTGCTTAACAACATTTAATGCATGACACTGTAGAAATGTCCCCAGGATTAATGTGGCTAAATGTGAATGGGGGAAAAAGGAGAATAATGGAAATATTTTGGTCATCTGGGCCACCCATTTGCCCAGAGCAGGAATCCATCAATCATATTTGACAGTCATCACTCAGCAATGTTGAATACCTCTAGTGAGAGAAAGTCTACCAAAAATCTAGGCGATCTGTTCAACTGTTTAAAAACTTTCTTAACAGAGTTCTTTCTTAAAGAGCTTCCTCCTAATACTCCACCTGAATTTCCTTTGTTTTACTTTATTTTTGTTTTCAACAAAGAATATATATGATTCCTCTTCCACATAATAGTTTGTCAGTTATATATAGAGAACTGTTATATCTTCCTCTTAGTCTTCTATTATCCAAGGTAAATGTGCCCAATCTTTTTGACTATTGGGATTTGGTGAATTTTCAGTTTTGTTGAGATAATATTGTACTATGATTTTGTACTCTTAGGTATTAGTCAATTTTCCTTTGATGTCAGCTACATATTTGATTAGCATTTCTTTCATCCCATACTTTTGGGAATTTATAAAGATGTTGAATATATGGAGCTAAAATGTAATTAATGTAGAATCATTTATCAGCAGCTTCTGGTGTTTGTTCAACTAAGGGCAAATCAACCTGAACACAACTTTTACATCTTCCCTATCAAGATTTCATGAGAGAGTATATCAAAAACATTATTAAGATCAAAGTTGATTATACCTGGAGCATTCTCTTTGTCTATCAAACTATTTACATTATCATGAAAACAGTTAAATTTAATCTAATGCATTCTATTCTGGAAAACTATTGCTTTTTTTTCCTAAACCCTTTCAGATTTCTGCTTACTTACTCTAATATGGACTGTTTTGTAGTTCAATGGATCTTCATTCTCTTTTTGAATAGGAACCTTGTTATTCTCCAGTCTTCTAGCACCTCACTCTCTGGTAGTTCTCAAATATTATATTCTGATGTTCTGAGATCATTCCTTTAATTTCCTTAAATACTCTAGGAAATATTTTGACTATCCCCAGAGATCTGAATTCATTTAAATAGCAAGGTGAATTCTTGTTCCACTTTTATAGTGTTGAGTTGTATGTTCTGTCTCATTTCTTCAGAAAAATATTTCTCCCTCTTCTGAGAGAAGTCATATCTAAATAAAAAGGTTCCTTTGAAATGAAGTGGATACAATGACAGTAAAGTTACATTAAAATACATGGTTTGTTTGAATAACAAAAACTGTACAGTGTCTGACTGGCCACATCATAGGAAAAGAAACCACTTTTTTTGAACAAAGCAAACTCAGAAACTAACTCACTTTGTTGAATTAAAAGATAGTCCCATCTTTGATAAGCAGATTCAAACCAGGATAACAGAGCACAGTTTTCCTATAATCTAATATTAAGATGCCAATGGTTTGATTTTTTTTAAATGATCTATGAGTTGCTTTTTTCAGAACGTGGTTGGACTCATTGAGTAGTATGATCTCTTAAATATGAAGAATGAACACATTAGACTGAGTCATAAAATAAACCAATCATTGGGTAAGTCACCTACCTTAAGCAATTCAGAAAAGACTTCAAACAAACTGGCCAACTGTGAGGCAGAGTCACATTGTGGTAAGTAGTGGTGATCTGATGACCTGTTTTTAGTTTATATACTCATCATTCATTTCTTGAGATGTCATAAAGCAGTAATATAATTGTGTGGCAATCTGCTAATTGTGTGTAGCAACTCCATGGCAACATTTAAGTTGAAAGAGGAGATCTGAAAAATAAGCATTTTGATGCTTAAAAACTATTTCAGTTGTTGTATTGGGTGGAAGTCTACTTTTGTGAGTAGAATAATTATTACTTGCATGGTTGAACTATAGGTTTCTGAAAAGGATCTGATTGCTCATTATATGAACAAAGTATTGCAGCTAAAACAAAAATACATTTATGTATCTATCTCAGAGTAAGAGGAACTTTAGAAAACTGAAAAGCTTCATTGATGGAACATGAAAAAAATAATTTCTATTAATTTATTACTGAATTTTGCAGATAGAAATTTCCTTAATATATTAGAGAAAAATATAATAAATAAATAAATAAATAAATAAATAAATAAATAAATACCTACCTACCTACCTACCTACCTACATACCTACATACATACATACATCCCCAAAAATAAGACCCACCCTGAAAACAAGCCTTAGCCTAATTTT